GTTATGTTTGGCTTCCTGTTTTATCCCCAGCACCTGGTACATAGCAGGCACTTAGAACATTCACTCAATCAACCCAGGGCCTTTGCACTGAGCTACATCTCCCATTTTAATTTTTTGACAGACTTTTACTGAGTTGCCCAGGCTGGACCCAAACTTGCCATTTTCTTGCCTCAGCCTCCCAGAACACTAAAATTACAGGGACGTGCCATCACAGCTGGAACATTTATTCAATATTTAAGTTCATCTAATTTTTGGTCAAATCCTGTGCTGTTACCATATATAAAGCTGTAACATAAATTCTGTAATAGGTCTGAACTCTTGAGAAGTTTGAAAGAATTTTTTTGGAAAAAGTGTATGAATATTTACAAAAAATACCTTTTTTTTGGCTGAGATGGGAGTCTCACCAAAGTCCAGGCTAGTCTCAAACTCTCACCAGCTTTTTCCTTTTATCTGAACCTCCTTTATTTAGAATTAAGCTAAAATAAATAAACTCTACCTAAAGCATTTTAAAAAAAGAAATCTGTGCCAAAAAAATATTGTCGTGGTTTATACCTGTAATCCCAGCACTAAGAGGTTGAGGCAGAAGGATTGCTGGGCTACTCTGGGCTACATAGTGAGTTCAAGGCCAGTGAATTACTAGTGAGACCCCGTCTCAACAAGCAAAAAACAACAGAAACAGAACGAAAAGGTCCCAAATAACCTTTGAACTCACCTTCATATCTTGACAGAATTTCCACTTGTGAGTTTAGAGCAGTAGTGGCAAACCTATGGTACACATGCTACAGGGGGCTGCTTGTATCACTGAAAGCTCTAAAAGGTCTGCCACCGCTGGTTTAGAGGATTTGCTAACTTTACAAAAGATTAGTTATCAGCAAGGCATGGTGACATATGCTTGTACCACTACTTGGGGGTTGGAGCAGGAGACTCAAAAGTTTCAGCCCAGTGTGGGTTTAACCATTTAGCAAGATCTTGCCTCAAAAACAAACAAACAAACAAACAAACACAACTGAAAAAAGAAAAAGCAAAAGCAAAAAAGGCTGGGGATGCAGCTCAGTGGGCAGGCCCAAAGTTCAATCTCTTATTCTGAAGAGAAAAAAAGTCATTATCCTAATTTACTTTTCCCCTAGAATTCACTTGTATTAAGGTAATTTTTAAATTTTTCATTACAATGGTTATTTTCATCGTAATGGTTAAAGAAAAATGCTACTTATAAAACTATTTCACCGAAACACTAGCTGTTGTCAGATTTCTAGATCATACAACTAGTCACCTCTTAATATTTTTTTAAAAACCCTATTTCAAAAGCATCATCTCTTGAAATTCAGTTCACAAATGTCACAAATAGTTTATACCTTCTGAAGGGTAGTATTAAAAGAAAGTTTAGTCCAGACGTGGTTAAATTCTACTGCATGCATGGTCTATAATTTCCTCTGAATAATTCTGCACATTAGCCTATTAAAGGCTCTGAGAAATCCATTAAGAAACCCACCTAACTTGATTTAAACTTTTTCCAAACTTACTTGATCCTAGGTTTAATTATCCACAACTAGTTATCAAACACACTTTGACAACTGCTAGCCCGTCTACATCCTACAGATTGACTAGTTCAGAATCCTATTAAGAACACAACACAACCTTGGTTTTTAGTTGTCTCAAGGTTCCTGGTGGCCTCACTTTTAAGAATTCCCAAACCATACATGTTATAATTCACCCCAAAATCTCAGCGACTCATATTACTTCGTAATTTGCAGAATTTATGTACTTCTTCCCTTTGAAAACCAGGATAATTGCTATTCTCTAATCTTTGTAATACTTTAATACTTTCTCAAGGCTTAGTAAAAATTTAATGACATCAATCAAATTTTTAATGGGAACTGGGGAAAAGGAAGTTAAAGTGCTGTCTTAAAGGATATGAGGGGAGAAAAATACAAAGCTGTATTATTATTGGGACCAGCAACTTCAAAGCCGCCAGACACAGATTGTTTCAAATCAATGGCTTGAGGCTGAGCATGGTAGCACATGCCTGTAATCCCAGCACTCAGGAGGCAGAGGCAGGAGGATCGCCATGAGTTCAAGGCCAGCCTGGGCTCCACAGTGAGTTCAAGGTCAGCTTGAACTAGTGAGACCCTGTTTCAAAATCAATGCCTTCTACAAAGACACGTGCATCAGAAACACCGGGGGAAATTCTTAAAACATACACAGGATTTCTGGGGTTAAGATTGTGGCCATGTGTAGTTTGAAAAACTTTCCAGGTGAGTTTAACACACAGTTCTGTAATCATCATAGGTCTGTGAAACATGAAATGTATGGTTTGTGAACTCTTAAAGCTGGGTTCATAAAAATTCTGTAATCATCTGTAGTCAGAATAATTTAACTGTAATCATTTCTAATAAAGCTAAGCCTGTGACTTTTCTGGGTGCTTCAGGTCATGGCGTCTTTTTCCTAGTACACTATGCCCTAATTTCAACAGTAGCCTGGCCATTATTCCTTGATGATCTCACAATCAGAATTAAGATAGGGGTTTCTTTCCCCTGAAGTTTACATTGATTCAGCTTCATCAATGGGTTCTTCATGTATGAGTAAATTTAAATTTCAGAATAGCTGTTTTCATGACTCCTTGAGAGCAGGAAAACAACAAATGTACCAGAAACCCCTTTGGAGTAATTTAGCACATTTGTGTTTTAGCATGTAATATTTCCAAGGGCAGTCTGGTCTTCCTTCCACAGATTCAGTTGTTTTGCCGGTAAACTATCGATCATTTACTTCCATTTGGCTTGAGTCTGTCACGAAACAAATCAGACAATAATCCCCTTCCTGTACTTTTGTCCTTAGTGATCTACAGAGCAGCTTTGTTACTTGGGCTGTATCTCTTCTAGACATTCAGTACTACATTCCTCATCTCCTCAGGGTCCTGTTTCTTCTGACCAGGTCATTCCTTCCACTGTTACACTCCTGGAGTTTTACTCCACCAACTCGATTGTACTCTACATGTTAAAATAAGCCCTTTATTATTCCCAGTGAACTGTCTTCAGACTTTACAACTTTTGATTTGGTGGAAATTAAAATTGTTTTTTCTTTTTACACTATATTTTACAGTCTTCAGAGATCATGGACAGATTTTAAAGAAAAAAATACTGACTTCTTTGTGCTGACGTAAAACAAGATGTAATTTAGATAATCAATTTATGCTTTCAAATAAAACCTACATTTAATTGACTAAGAGTTTAAGCACAGGTTATAAATGCAAAGAAAAGCTACTTATTTTAGGTGTAGGCGAATTTAGTATCATTAAGCTTTCAGCTGCAGACGTAGATGCAGCGACATCAAAGGGAAAGGACTAAACACGACCTTTCTCTTAAACTACCGAGAGCTGAGACACATACAAATTTTATGGTAGGTAATCTAAAACTCTTCTAAAAATGATTAACTGTTATTCTATCCAACAAGAAAACCAATACAACAAATCTACCTAATTAGTTAAGACACTGGATACTCGTCATGCAGTTTCAGTGTCTAGTAACAAACCTTCAGACCTTAAAGTTCTGTTTCACAACTTCTGCTAATCACATTTTTAAAGTCTGATATCCACTGTAAACTACATATAAAAGAATACACAATTACCAAGTAGATGCATAAACTAAAGATTCTCAAGTCTAGTTTTGTAGCATAATCTGAGAGCCTCCAAAGATATATACTCCAAAATTAATAGCATAACATTAAAAATAAAATTTCACATAGGATGGGACAAATACCATCAACCTGCTGAGTGTTCTACCTCTAAAAAGTTGAAATGCATCAATATATATATTTTTCAGGTAATAAGTATCAATGAGAGTTGGACCAAGAATTGTTATCATTTTAATTATCAAAAATTAAGTATCAAATGTAACCATTAGAAATTAAAAGAAAAACAAGTAAGCATTTTAGTGTAGTTTTTTGTTTTTAGAGACAGAATCTTGCTATGTTGCCCAGGCTGACCTTTAACTCCCAGACTCAGCCTCCTGAGTAGCTGGGGTTATAAGTGTGTATCATGTTTGGCCTTTAAAATAATTTTTTCATTACCATCAAGTTCTTGTAAAAAGTGGTTCGTTTTTTAAAAGTATGTCAATTTTGTTTACATTAGCTTTAAACATTTTTTCTGATCCAGAAGAATTTTACCATAGTTAGTAATAAAATTAAACTCTTCTTTTTATATCTGAGCTATTTATCTGACCTAGCAGCTCCAAGGCATTATTATAAAGAAAAACTCAGAAATAAAAAAATGTTAAATAGTTCAATGTAATGAAGAAACACGTAATTGATACCACTAATGGTGACTCCTAAGCTTTCATTTTAATATTTCACTTAATGAGTGTGAATAGAACTTTTTTCTGTTAACAGCATTCCCAATGACCCCAGGCACACACATGGACTTTATTAAATGCAAGGAAATGGCCTAAACTGTTGGTCACAATGTCAGAGGTGGCCAAGTTAGAAATAAAATAATTATTGATGATAAAAATGGCCCTTTTGTTCAATTATTTGTGCTGCTTATACATTTAAAAATTCACTACTCAATGAAAAATAACTTAAAATATGTATTTCAAGTCTCAAAAATTAATTGTAAAGAAAAGTATACCACTTCATTTGAAAAATTAGTAATTTCTACAGATATATGCAAGATCTCTACATATGTTGTAAATATGTCATCAAAGCCTACACATTTTAGTATTTTTTTTTTTTTTGGTACTAGAGATTAAACCTAGGAGCTAAAAATACACTCTACCACTGAGCTATAACCCTAGCCCCACAGTTTAGTATTTTTTATGGTTTTTTTTTTTTGGTACCAGGGATCGAACTCGGGTCCTTGCACTTGCGCAGCAGGCGACAAAACCACTGAGCTAAATCCCCGGCCCTAGTTTAGTATTTTTTAAAGAGAAATTCAAAGTAGGAGATTTTTTGCTGCATTATGTAATTAAAGACAGTAACTTTTACACATTAAAATAATTTACACTAAAAACTCAAAGTCTGATACTTTATCAAAATAACAAGAACAAAATTACCAATGAAAAAATAGCAAAAGCTATTAAAAAAATAGTAAACTCTTTTTAAATTCCTGTGTTTACACAGATTAAAAATATTTATCAATTATCACACAGAATGCAGCATACTTTACGGTATAATATAGGATAGTAACATGGGCTATCTGAAATTCAAGCTGCACTTACCAAGATAGTTTTAACCTGAGTCTGATGTCTTTAGAAATGCATTTGACAAAAATGTGTGCAAGTAGTATTACTTTTAGTAGTAGTTTTCTTTGAATTCTTAATATTGTTACTTAAATATCTGTGTAAAATTACAAATACTTATTGCATTTTTTGGGTTCTCTGAACACAGGAGGGCACATGAAGCCCTTTTTCCTGCGATGCATGCACATGAAGATGTCTTCTTAGTTCAAAATGCCTTATACGTAATCTTATTCTCACACTGAATTATTTTAGAATAAATGTAAAAGGTCAAAAGATTATCAAAGATACTTGAATATTCTGAGGAAATAAACCACACCTGCTTGAGGTATTATACAAGTTCACTAAAGAATATCAAATTAATAATTTCCTCCTATAAATATTTTCTTTTTATTTTGTGTTTAGAAGTTGCAGTTTTAAGTACTATTAACAGAAAATAACAAATGTTTCCTAACAAGTGAAAAAAATAATTATAAATGCTGGAAAAATTGGCCTCATTAACATTATTTACAGACTTTTACTTAATACATACTCCTTTGGAAATTAACTATGTGACATTTATACAAGCATTAACATTTCCCAATCACTGAGTAGTGAGCATTCCAGTTCTTTACTGTCTATACCCACAGTTGAAAGTCATTTAGTCCCTTATGGTGGAAGTGACATGCCACAGTCTTTTGGTCAAACTGAGACACTGCTGACATGCTGTTGTTCTATTCCTTCATCTAAAGATGCTTCTGTGGAGGAAGTGTCCTTATGCTGCTTCCTCTCTTTGCTCTGATTTTCTTGCAGCTTCAGAATTATGTTTCGGATTTCTTCTCTTTTTGTTCTCATTCGTGGGGGTGGAAACCAGTTTGTCAAATTCATAGGTAATTCAAAGTTTAGTATTGGATTCTGAAAATAAAAGGATAACATGCCTATTAAAATTTTAACAAACTACATTTTCATTTCAAACACAAAAACCACTCCAAAGTTAACATGAAAATATCAATATGCACTGATTCATTACCTATCATATGATAAGCAGTGTGCTTGGCAATGAAGGTATAGGACAGTTTCTGCTTACAGATCTTACAACCTAAATTAGAGACTGGCAGCCAGGCATGGCAGATACCTGTAATCTCAACACTTAGGCTGAGACAGAAGGACTACTGCAAGTTCAAGGCCAGCCTGGGCTACACAGTAAGTTTAAGGGGAAGCCAGAACTATATAGTGAGACCTTGTCTCAAAAAACGTAAGTGACTAGCAAACTAAAGCCACCAGGCCAAAGTCTGCTCACTGCCTGATTTTGTAATAAGGTTTTATTGGAACACAGACCACTAACTTATTTAAATATGGTCTATGAATGTTTTTACAAACAGTAGAACTAAGAGTAGGAACACAGGGTGTATGGCTGAAAAGCCTTAAATATTTATTCTTTTACCCTTTATATCCCTTTTCAGCCCAGGATAGACAGATAATTCAACAAGTCAAACAATGAATATGGCAAATATTATGACAGAAGTATACAGTAATGTTGAGAAATAAATACTTAGGGGCCTAAAACAATTCCAAGAGGAACTTATGCTTAAGGACCTGGAATTGAGATCTGGAAAACAACAATTTAGCGAAGAGAAAAAAAAATATAGCTCCTGAAATCAAGAAAGAGCCAACAGAGAAACAGGAAAAAATCCAGAGAAAAGGAAGAATGAGATCAGTGTGGTAGCACATGCCTGTAATCGTAGCACTCAGGAGGCTAAGGTAAGAGGATTGCTTTGAGCTTCAGGCCAGCCTGGGATACACAGTGAGTACCAGGCCATCCTGAACTGCAGTGAGACCTTGTCTCAAGAAAACGAAACAAAGCAAAGCCAAGCTAAGCCAAAGCCCTCACAAAAGGAAAAACGAAGCATGCTGGTATGCTAACCCCAGCTCCCAGGGAGGAGGAGGAGGACATCCTGTCTCTGCAAACACAAGTGACACTGGTGATCAGGCCCCTGGAACAGTAGTGGCGAACCTATGGCATACATGCCACAGTGGGCTATTTGTTATCACTGAAAGCTCTTACAGGTTTGCCATCACTGCCCTAGAAGAAAGCTGGATACTAAGAGCTTCAAATATTATACTGAATAGGTTGAAGATGGGCATAAACACCAGAACATAAGCAAACCCAAGCATACACCACAGGGAGACAGAATCTAAAGAGATTGCTACAGTAGTGACAGAGGTTTTCTACCCAAAGTGATCTTCAAATCACAGTGAGAAACAACAGAAAAATGAGAAAGCAAGGCAAGAAGATGTCTCAAAAAGCCCCTATTCCCCAAAAGCTGATCTCACAGACACTGAAAAAGAGGAAGTTATAGACAAGCAACTCAAAAAACAAATGGTTAAAATGTTAGAAGAGATAAAGAAGAAACAAGTAAATGTGTAAGATGCTTAATGAGCTCAAAAAGGATTTACACAGATAAAGAATTTCACAAATAATAAAACTTACAATAAGTTCAATGAACTTAAACTAACTGAGATAAACAAGACAATATAAGATATAAATAACCACTTCAGTGAAGAATTAGCATGTATGAATAGAAAGCAATCAGAAATACATGGCATGGAAAAATTCAGTGGAAAGCATCAGTAGCAAAAGACCACAGTGTGAGGACAGAATGTCAGAAATAGAAGACTAGGAAGATGCAGAAGATCATAAACTCAGTAATACCCCAAAACCTGCAAGACATCACACAAGCTAGATCCAAGAACTGCTAGATAACACACACTCTTCCCCCCTGCCCCACACGCAAACATATAAAACCAACCTCAGAATTACAGAAATGATAAAAAAAAAACCTTGGAAGAGTAACTCTCCATGTCAATGGTCTCAGCTCCCCAGTCAAAAGACACAGATTGATAGATTGCATAAAAAAACCAAAATGCAGGGCCGGGGATTTAGCTCAGTGGTTCTGCTGCCTGCCTCGCAAGCACAAGGTCCTGAGTTTGATCCCCAGTACCAAAAAACCCCACAAAAAACCAAAATGCAGCCATATGTTGTCTGCAGGAGACACATCTCATCCAAAAGGATGTACAGACTGAAAGTAAAAGATGGAAAGTGATTCTCCGTTCAAAAGGAACCAGAATACACAAGCAGGAGTAATTATTCTCTGACACAACAGACTTCAAAACAAAAATGATCAAAAGAGACAAAGATGGCCACTGAATACTGGTACAGGGAACAATTCAGCAAGAAAAGATAACAATTGTAAGTATCCAAACCACCAAACGTCAGTACATCCAATTGGATGAAAGCAAAACTCCTGGACATAAAAGGACAGGCAGAAACCAATACATTCATAGCGGGGGACTTCAACACCTCACTCTCACAATTAGACAGGTCAACCAGACAAAAATATTAGCAAAGAAATCTTAAGAGTTACACCACACCAGTGACAAATGGACTTAATGGTATCTATAGAGTATTTCATCCAACAGTAACAGAATACACATTTTTCTCAACAGCACACAGAACTTTTTCAAAATAGATCATATCACAGGCCATATAGCATGCTGAACAAAATACAAAAGAATTGAAAGAATCCTCTACATGCCATTGGATCATAGCAAAACGAAACGAAATCAACAGCAAAAGAGATGACAGAAACTATACAAACACATGGAGATTAAATAATATGTTACTGAATAATCAGTGGATCACAGAAATAATCAGGGAAGAAATGAAAAGTTCCTAGAGTCAAAGACAATGGAAGCACACCACAGCAAAACCTATGGGACACACTGAAAGCAATTTTAAGAGAAGAGTTTATAGCTATAAATGCACATATAAAAAAACAGATCAATCTAGGGCCAAGTATTTAGTTAGCTCAGTGGTGCCATGCTTGCCTGGCAAGTGCAAGATCAAGAAACAAACAAAACCCAATTCAAATCTAAAACTAATAAAAGGAAATAAATTATAAAGCTCAGAGTGGAAATTAATTAAATTGAGACTAAAAAAGTAATATAAAGGATTAATGAATCCAAGAATTGGTCCTTTGAAAGGATGAGGAAGGATACCTGGAGATGAGGAGAGATGGGAGGTAAGGTAGAGAAAAGCATAAAAAGAATCAAGATGCAGTGTGTGTATGTACCAATTCCCCCTTTACAATATATTACAAACATATACTAATTTAAAAAGGAGAAAAAAATGAAGCGTTTTGGACTGTAACTCAACAACAGGAAGCTATTGTTACATTTAAAGTAGGAAATCAACATGATTGGATCTGGGGTTTTTGGAAAACTGAAAAATAAAAGGCAGGAAGTATGAGAACCTGTTATAGATTGGTGTGGCAGTTTGTAATTGTGATGCTCACACAATGGACTTGGCAACTGACAGCAGGAATAAGGTAATGTACATATATGACATTAAATGACAGAATTCACCAGACACAGTAGTTTATCCACTAAAAAGTGAAGAAGGAAGCAGTGAAGATAACTGGGAAGAATATCTAAGAAGGGTATGTGTGGTACTTGACCTCTTCAGTCAAAGGAAGAGAGTGAAAAAGAAATGGTCCACAGCAGCAAATAGTGCTGGGAGGCCAGGAGCAATTTTAATACAAAGGTAAAGACAATGTTGTATTTTGGAGATCTGAGAAGCAATCAGGACTTGTAGAAAAGGAGATGATAAATATAAATACTTCTCAAGAAATACATGTATGTGTGAAGGGGGAAAAACTCAGTCTGAATCACAGGAGAGATCTTGTAAGTGGAAAAAGCCAGTGGGTAGAGTGAGCTGATCAGTAATGGAGAGAGGACAACAAATCTTGGATTTGGTGACCAATAGTATTTTTGTCTTAAAAGTTCTCCAATTTGGACATTATTGCTCAAGAAATATATATGTGGAGAGAAAAGAGTTATAAGAAGTAGTCTGAATCACAAGAGAGATCTCTTTAAGATGGAATAATTTTTCAAACAAATTTTCAAATTCTTTAAAATATTTGCTCATCGTGTTTATATACAAATAAGGTCAAATACACTATTTTGTTATTTATTAGGTCAGAGTTAAAAAACTGAAACGCACCTCAAAAAAGCTCTCTACATACTGTAATACATACACGCCACAATCACTGAAGTTGTTCTGCTGTGGTACTTTTGGATTAGAGCCTTTCATAACATCTTTGGAAAAACTTCTTTTGCTTCCTTTTTTAACTTCCCATTCCACCTCTAAATATCTGCAAGAATGGATACATAAGAATACAGGTATATATGTAAATACACAAATTTGCCTCATTCCTACCACAATATGAAATAAAATGTGAGGTGCAATTCTGAACTTACTCTCTCAGAATTTTTACAACATTTGATCGAGAGGGGCCTCTGAGTGAGTCCATAAGTAGAATACAAGGTCTGTGGGGTAGAAATGACGAAAAGTTGAATACTTGCAATGCCAAAAGTACTGAAATGTTTGAAGATCTTGGTTCTTCTTGGCTAACAGTTTTTGGGATTTGGAGCATCTGCTCCCTTCCTGTGCCAAGGATGGAATCCAGGGCTTCATGCGTGCTCTGCACACACCGTATCACTGAGCTATAAGCCCCAGCTCTGGAACAGATCTCTTAACTGTAATAAGTCTCTATATTTTCTTTTATAAATGAAATTTGCTTTTCAGTATGCCTTATTAGAACGTCTGCCAAAATTATCTACAATAGTCAAAGGAGATTAAATCCAGAAATAGGTCACATTTCATGATCTATGTCTGGAGCCTCTAGAGAGATGTCAGAATGCATATGTACTTTGGAAAACTAACCCTGACTCACTTTCATTTGGGGTTCCCATGTGTAAATCAGCCTTCATGGAGTAGGTATGTAACTAGTATCAACTCTAATCTCATGTTAGTTTTGATATACAGTGGTTTTCTGCTCCAAAACACTATATAAAAAAGGAATTGGGTTTGCTATCAAGACACGTTCATCTGTGGATGCAGAGGATGGGAAAGTTGGTAAAGGAGGGCTGAAATGATTACCCATTCTCCCCTCCTTGATCCCTGGATATCTGTCTTGCTTTTTTTCCTCACGGAGCCTGACAACACTTGTGAATTCTGCTTAAATAAAAACTGTCTGGTTATGCTTTATTCTATGAATGCATTTAAATAAAAATTAACACGCAAGAGATATAGGTAATGCTTACTGTTTACAGATAGTAGGCTTTAAATGCCACTGTCCTATTTCTGAATTGCAGTTGTCATCAGCAAGGAACCCATCATCACTGCTATCATCCTGTAAGAGACAGCCTATTGTTAATATTTAAAATATACTACTTAAATAATTAATACCTAACAAAATAGCACCACTGATGACAAAAATCCTTGTAACGTGGAAAAGTAACTTCTACTTAGGTCATCAACACAGAAAATGTAGCATATTACTGGATCCCAACTATCTAATGTTGTAACACTGGCATTTCAGAAACTACCAATCACAAATTTACTAAAAATTATTACATCTACACACAATCTAGAAAAAGAAATCTTTGAAGACTATGACTAATTCTTCTGTCAAATAGTACTCCTCTGATTTTAGGTTTTTTGTTTAATTTTCTGGTACCAGGACCTTGTGCTTGAGAGGCAGGTATGATGCCACTGAGCTACATTCCTGGCCCTGATTTTAGTTTACTTTAATAAAAATTTCATTTGTTAGCTAAGACAGCTGTTTCACAGTAGGACAACCCATATTTATTATTCTTTTAAATGAGTAATTTGTTCCATACTAGGAATATTTAAAGGAGTTTTCGAAACACTTTTCCTTGAGAAAACCATACATTTACTTGAGAGAAAACAGCTTAAGAATATTTTATTCTACAGATTTTCTTCTTTGTAATATGAGAAAGCTTTTCACAACTTAATGGAATAATCAATAGTATGAACAATTAGATTAACTAGTACAGCAGATATAACAGGTAACTTTTATAATCAAAAGAGCTCAAGTACAAGTGATCATTATAAACTGTGAATATAACCCTTTAATCTTAGGTTGAGTATCCTTTATTTGTTTGTTTTGTTTTGTTTTGTTTGACAGTCTCGCTATGTAGTTTAGGCTGGCCTTGAACTCATAGTGATCCTCCTGCCTTAGCTTTCTGATTGCTGGGATTACAGACATGTGCCAGTATGCCCAGCTTGAGTATATCCCTTATTTAAAATGCTTGGGCCCCCAAAATGTTTTAGAATATTTGCAGAGACTCTAAGGGATAAGCATTCCTAATCTGAAAATCTGAAATCTGAAACTTCTTCAGTGTCATTTTGCATTTCAGATTACTGATACTCAATCTGTGTATGTTGGGAGAAAAAAAAAGATCCCTATTTTATAGCCATAGGCGATAAACCAAGGGAATCATAAAAATATGACTTAAGCAAAAAGGAAAAATGGTGTAATATAAAGCCATCTTCCCTACTACATAAACAACTCAAAGTTTGTTTTAACAACTAAAGAAAGGTCATAACACTAAAGAAATGGTATGCTGTATGATTCTTACAGACTTTTTACATCAGTACAAACTCAATTCTCTCTACAATTCTGGTCGCAAACTGAACTAGATGAGAACTGAATCAAATTTCTCCTGTAAGATCAACAGTGAATCTAACCACTGAATTTGATTCAGTTTTTGTCCACTCAGTTAGCAACCAGAATTGTGGAAAGAATCAGGTTTGTGAACCGAGGTACCACTGTAAAGACCTTTTTAACTGAAATTATAGAATAGCATATGTTCAAAAATAGACTGGTGTTCAAAGTGTTAATTATTAAGAGAAATAAGACTAAGGAAATACTAGAATTCACCTTTTTAAATGTTAATCAAATAAAATTTACTCCCAGGCTGGGCATGGTGGTGCATGCCAGTAATCCCAGCAAGAGGATCACCATGAGTTTGAGGCCAGCCTGGGCTACATAGTGAGTTCCAGGCCAGCCCGAACTGCATAGCGAGATCCTGTCTTAAAAACAAAAAACAAAATATAATTTGCTCCTGCCACAATACACACACATTAGAAGGAAAAAAACCCACTAGAAATGTAGAAAAAATAATATAATTTTGTTTACTCATGTACTAGGTAATTGAAAATTTAAACATTTTCCTCTTGAATATTTCAAGTAAGACTAATAGTTGTGTGTGGTCCATAAATGCTTTGAAAGAGGAAGGGTAGGAGGTGGTTTGTTGGTGGCTCGGCTGGGTCTAGAGTTAATTTTATATTAAAACACTCTGAGATAATATTAGAGTTCAGTCCCTATCTCATCAAAAAAAGAATAATACTAACACATATATCCTGGGAACTTACAAGCTGAAAACTAAATTTATGCTTTGAAGAGATGACCAAATCCAGAAGCTATGATTAGTGTTTGAAGGAATTACAAGACTCTGAAGAAAAACTTAAACAATCAAAACAGAACAAAACAAAAACCCAGAACATTATTCAGCCATAAGATTTTACCTGGTTATCTTGATCTTCTGAGAAGTCAATGAGTTCATCTTCAAGCATTTTACTACCTTCAGCTGACTCATCATTATAGTTCATTCTGATATTGCTTAAGCCATCTGTACCAATAAGAAACTTTATATAATAAAAAGGTCATGCTTTTAACTATAGGATACAATACTGAAATTTATGCTAGCAATTACAAAATAAGTTATTTTAAATAAAAACCTGGGTTGACATATAAATTACAGAATTATTTCAACTGAGGCTGAAGTCCGTTAAAATTAAAAAACTAGGTTATCAAGTTATAGGATTAAATGTATGTACCCTTAACTATATAAATATAAGGAGATAAGTATTTGCATGCTAGGTATTGCAGGCATCCTTAATTCATAATAAAAGCTATGATAGTTACAAAGCCTTTGTTTCCATTTTTTCCTTTTCTCATATTTTTCTTTTCCCTTCTTTCCTTTCCCCTACCTTTCCAATAAACTTAATGGAAAAAAAAGCTATGAAAATCTGAAAATAATATAAATGCTCAGTAACACCCAGTAAATTGTAGAACATGAAATAAGATACAACTTCTTTTTTTCTTTCCCTGGTACTGGGGATCAAACTCAAGACCTTGTGCTTGCCAGGCAGGTGCAGCACAACTGAGCTACATCCCCAACAAGGTACAACTTTAAAACTGTGAAAATATGAACAATTATAAAGGGTGAAAAGGATTAAAAATAATAATTTTGCTTTTCGATAATTAAAAATACAAAAGTGATAATCATTGTATTAGTATCATTATATAATCATATATTACATAATTAGCATCCACATAATCATTGATTGGTATTTATAGTTGAGTCCCCCTAACTCTCGTGTATTTTTCCTTCATGTATATTCATACTTTTCAATTACATAAAATCACACAAGTCAATTGCAGCTGCTGGCAGTATAAAAGTAAATAACTCACAGGAAAATGTGGAAATGCATACTTTTAAAGGTCTATTCCAAGACTCTAAATGGTTAAAAATAAATTCTTTTGCTGAAAGAAGCTTATTATATGTAATGTTTCAAATAAATGTAAGATTTACAATAAGGCAGTGAAATATCAAATATATCAATACTGTTTAATAAAGAGCTTACCATTTCAAAATGTTAAAATGTATGCCTTTTAGGTATTTTAGATAAATTTAATTTGATACTACTTATTAAGTTATAAGGGGCTAAAAATATTAGTATAAAGGAGATGGGATGAGAAGGAACAAAAAAGTACACCCCTGAAAAAGATTCATATAAATCCAAATGTTGGTATCAGAAACATACTATTTAAATAACTAATCAAGCATGTTAAATCCTTTAATACAAATATCGTCTTCAATTTTTAAAAAAAATCTGCATTTTTGTTTTTTAAAGTTAAAGCATCTATATTTGAATAAAATCTATCTAAATTCTCAATTAAGAATTAATAACACTGAGGCTATTTCTAGTAGTAAATCATTATTATCTACAGAAAGTGGTTATATAAGTAGCTGTTTATCTTGCACCAACTAAACTATTTGTGCATTTCAAAAACAAGAGAACAATTTAAAGGATACAGCTACCCCCCATTATTTCCCTGAATTAACAAATGATGTGAAGTAAACAGAGGTGACAACTCAATCATTTGTTCTTTCAGTGACAGTTTCTCATGCAGTGAGAACCTCTGAAGATGCTGAGTATGATTCTTAAGTTTAAAAAGACACAGTTTTTCATGCACCCTAGCAAGTCAATCATTTCCTACGGTGCCCAACAGGAAAAAAAAAAGTGAGATGTTATTTTCCTACAGTTGACCTTAAAAACCAATCTCTGGGATAAGATACCACTGCACTTATTTACTATATAGCAGTGGTGGCAAACCTATGGTATCGTGTTATTTTTCTTTCAAGACAAAGATCTGAACGTATGAATGGTTTTAAAAATTAAAACCTTTGTAGTCAGGTTTAATTGTGATTTTTGTCACTTTGTGATAAATAAGTAGGTTGCAGTTTGGGCACTTTTCTCTAAAATGTTCGTCATCACTGCTGTATAGCATGTTATCTGATACTAGTAGTCAATGCCTGTAACTACTATGTGTTTGATAGTTAAAATTATGTTAAAGCTGTTTAAAATACATCATTTAAATCCTGTAGATTACCAGATCAAACAGAAGTTAATTTCAGAAGTTATTAATCATGTCACAAAAATCATTACAAATTCTCATCGTAACATTTAACATGCCATCATCACATTCAGGACAGACTGCCTTGCGATCCTCTCTGAGGTGGTAAAGGCACATCTAGAGAGCACTCAGTTAAGGTATTTTTGGGCCAATGATCCCTTGAAAACATCTAGTAAAGGAGGCTCACTGAAAAACGTATGGACCCACTTTAGAGTATAGTGATGCTATCATCACTGGAAGAATAGAAAAGTATCCATACTACTTCACATATAAAAATGATGTTTTATAAAACATGTTTCAGGAAGACATAATGATGTGGTTAAACATGTACTGTTATGGCTTGTATCTAGATGTCCCTCCAAAGTCTCAGTTCTCATACATGGGTGGGGCTTTTCAGAGATGGCTGGATCTAGGGTGTGTGTTAACTAAATTAGTCCACGGATTGGCTTAGCATAGTTCTGGGTGTGGATACTGGGAAGGCCTACCCTGGGCATCGGTGGCACTCCCCAAAAGACATGTAGCCTGGATGGGATAAAAGGAAAACGGAGGCCTGCTGCTGCCTTCTGCTTGCCATGCCATGAAGTGCCACACCACCCTGCCTTGGAGCTAGCTGACTATGGACTGAAACCTTTACAAACTGAGCTAAAATAAACCTTTCCTCCTTTAACTTGTGACTGCTGGGTATTTTGTCCCAGTAATGACAAAGTAATCGAGATACATACTAAAAACAAAAACAAATGCACAAACTGTAATAAAAAGATTAATAAATGGGACAAACATATTAGTAAGACAAACTGCATATAAAGCAAGTTATTTTTTACTTTGGTCTCCACTAGAGTTTTGAGGCTATTTTCTAAAATTTAGTAAGCTATTTACTCAACCAGAACATTAATTTGTGTAAGAGGGTACTAGTTATCTCTAGAGTTTCTGTATAGAAAGCCTGAAGCTTTGTTCCATTGCTTTAAGTCATACACTTTACTTCTTACCTACATTCACATTAATGGGTATAAAAAAATGGATCAAAAGAAGCCTTTTTTTGGGGATGCTGAGGATCAAACCCAGTACCTTACTCTCTACTACTAAACTATATTCCCAGTTTTATTTTTTAACAGCAATGACAAGATACAATTCATATGACATTTACTCACTTGGAGTGTACAACCTGTTGGTTTGGGTATGTCAGCCCTCTGTATCTATGCGTTCTGGGCCTGTAGATTCAAAAACTATGTATCGAAAATATTTGAAAAAATCTGTACTAAATGTGTACACTCTTCTCTTGTCATTAGTTACTCCATAAATAATATAGTAGAACAACTATGCACATAGAATTTACATTGTATCAGGTAATACAAGTAATCCACAAATGCTTTAGTATATGAGAGGATGTGCGCAGCTTATACACAAATTTTTTTTTTTGGTGCTGGGGATCAAACTCGGGTCCTTGTGCTTGTGCAGCAGGCAGCAAAACCACTGAGCTAAATCCCCGGGCCTATATGCAAATATTATGTCATTTATTTCTACGGACCTTGAGCATCCATGGAGTTTGGTATTCCTGAGGGGAGAAGAGGTTCTGAAACCAATCCTCTAAGGATAAATGTATATTCACATCTGTTTATAACTATCATCACTTTTTTTTCAGAGCTCACAATGGAACCTAGAGCCTCACACATTCTAGGCAAGTGCTTATCACTGAGCTATATCCTCATCTCCCACAATCGTTTTTACAACTGCAAAAAGAATAAATTTCATATTCTTTATTTCTCCCCACATTCCCATCACCTCCTTTCCTCGGCCCCCAAAAGACCTAAGCAGTCACTGATCTAACTTTATAGATTTTATTGTTCTGGAGATGCTATACAAATGATTAGTTTTTTTCTTACTCAAGTATTAAAATACTAAAGTTAAAAAAATTACAGGCAAATGTTGATTACCTATTCTGTTTGTTGTATTCTATGTCCTAATGAAACAGAATGGAAACAGCATCGATGTGGTCTTTGATGAACTTTGTTTGCTCTATCTGCTAACACTATTACCTCATATCTCTAAAGATCATCACTCTAGGGCTAATTACACCTTCATGCAACTTAGTATGGGTAACAAATCAAAATACTCTTACAAGAGCACAATAGCTTCCTGACCCACTAAAATCATATAAGCTGGGAGTAGTATCAAGAGTTTGTTCAGTATTCATAATTTTCAATGGGTTCTTTCTGAATCCACATATTTTTTTCTATGGTCTATACTAACTCTTTTCATCCAAAGAAAATGTGTTAAATCTATTCAGAGCTTATTAAGTTTGCATAAGCCACATACTACAGCATGCTATAGTTTAAAAAAGTAGACAATTTTTTTTTCAACTGACATACAATACTTGTACATATTTTGGGGGCTGAGAATGTAGTTCATTGGTAGAGCACTTACCTAACGTGCATAAGGCTCTAGGGTTGATCCCCAGTACTGCAAAACAACCCCCCCCCAACCTTGTACATATTTAGGGGGTATCTCGGTCATGTTTTGATACATGACACATTATGTATTGTTCAAATCAGGGTATGGAGAGTAAACTATTTTATTTGTGGTTTGGAGAAAAAAACTGTACAACTGATTTGATATTAAATTGAAGGATTTTAAGAGAAAATTGTATTTCTATAAGAGTAGCTAGAAATAGAAACTGATTCAAGGAAAACTAGTCTATTAGAGATGAAGGAGAATCAAAAAAGCAGTAGTTAGAGTAGTGTCCTTCGTACTGAGAACAGTGAAGGACAATGAGAAAAGAGGATTCAAGCCTTAACTGCTTAGAGGAGAAAGGACTGATTTCTGCTTCTGGCCAGCTGTACTCTCTTTACCAATCTGTATATTGAGAACACTGAAATTTATCTGCTTTATGGATCTAAGACCATGCAACTATTTATTCGGAGTACAAAAATAAATCCAAGGGCTGGGATGTAGCTCAGTGGCAGTGGGCCTGCCTGGCAAGTGCAAGGTCCTGAGTTTAATTCTCAATTGGGGGAGATCCAAGTTCTCATAAATGGAAAATGTAAATCATGTACAGGGTGAATATCCCTTATCTGAAATGTATGCAACTGGAATTCCTTCGTTTTTCAGATTTTAGAATATATGAGTATCTTGGAAATGGGTCCCAAGTCTAAATATAAAATTCATTTGTTTCACATTCATCTCACACACATAGCCCAAAGGTAATGTCACACATTTTTAGTGTGTCTGCATTTTGATTGCAATTTGTCACATGAAGTCAGGTGTAGAATTTTCTACTTATAGTGTAACAGTGGTGGCTGAAGCAGATTTTGAGGCATTTTGGATTTTCAGACTAGGAATGTTCAACCTGCACTGCATTTTTAAAATTTCATTTTTAGGGATAAAGGGAAAAGATTGACTGCAAAAGAGGCAAAAAGGCTTTTTTTAGAGTGATACAAAGGTTTGAAATTGTTGTGGTAATCATTACATGACTGTGAACAATTACAACTCAAGAAATACCCATGAGTGAATGTTACTGTAAGTAAATTATACCTTAATAAACTTGACCTTCAAAAAACTGTATAATCTTTTAAAAGTTCTGATTTGAAATTCTTCTTTTCCTTCAAAACACATAGGTACATACCTGGATGATGTATAGAATTTAAACATTCATCCTGTAGGCCATTTTCACTTTTAGTCCTATCAACAACTTTCTGGCATGAAGATTCTCTTTTATTTGACTCTTCATTTTCACTTGCAATAGGATTTACTTTTTTCACACTGCATATGTTTCTCCGATCACAAAGGTTGCTTTCTTCCTGTCCAGCACTTGAGTCAGTTACAGCTAGGCAATGCTTTTTGTTTAGCACCTTCTTAATGACAGGCTTGGCAGAAGAATTCTGTGAACAACTGTCCATTTCATTGGCAGAAGAAGAAATACAACTGTCTTCTACAATTGAATTTTTTTGTATGACTGCATTTTCATGGTAATGAGGATTAGGTTCATACTTTGGTTTTTCTAAGCCAGGGAAACAAACAACAGCCAAAAACCAGTGTGCACTGTAAAAAACAAATGAAACTACTAAATATATTAGAAAAGGTAGTTGTAATTGGCAATAAATATTAATTGAAATGTTTGCTCTAAAGCTTTTGTGAAAAATTTACTAACAATGCTTCATTTTCCCCAATTCTCAAATTGTTTATAATTGTTCTTACTTCATTTGATTGCTGATTAACAGAACTTATTTATAATACAGTACTTAAGAAGAACATAATTTCTGTTAGAATTATATTGCCTTCATTCACTTTGAAAACAAATCTGCAAAACTGTTTTTATTATTATTATTTTTACTTTAATAATGTCTGTTTTTATTATTAATAAAGTAGGGAGGAGAAAAGGCAGCATTTCACAGCTGTTCCAGGATCTGGAATTGGGACACTTGAAAAACAAATTACCAAAGAAAAAAGGAACAGCTCTGGAAATCAAGAGCTGACAAGAAAACTAGAAATCAGAGAAACAGAAAAGGAAGTGAAAGAAAGGAAGTGGTCTGGGACAAATCCTGGCTGCTGGGAAGGAGGTCCTGTTTGCTAACACAAGGTAAGCTCAGTCAGGGTCGGCAGACCCAGGACAAAAAATGGAATGGCCGACAGAGCTTGCCCTAAGAAAAGGGCACGTTACTCCACAGTAAATACAGTATGGGATTTTACTCTGAAAGTTACTCTTTGTATACAGCAGGCTAGAGATAGAGAAGAAATTCACTGCAGTGCCTGCCTTATTTGGGATGTTTAATCAGGAGCCATTTTGGGAAGAAGTTAAATTTTTTGAGACTGAGCTACTCCCAGCATAGAACTACACTAGAAAGTTTTGGGGGTCACTCTACCATAGTGGTTAATACCTTCCTATTTTTCCTTCCCTTTCATTTTGTTTTTTTAAATTTACCTTTACCTACTTCTGTTAACTCTTTTATTCTTAATTGGATTCTTTATCTCACTTTTCTCTCCTCTTCCTCACTTTCCTATTCTTTTTCAAATTTTACTTTTCATTTTTCCCTTTTTCTACCCCCATTTTAATATTACTATTAATCTGCATTAATTTTTAGACATTTAGTTGACTCTATGCTACTATTCCTGAAGGCTGTTCTGTTGTTAATGGTGGGATAACTGTCACATTTAGTAGCTATTTACTGTACGTCAATATTTGGTAGGCCTTTGTGTCTATATCATTATTATTGCAGATCTTTTCTCTATTGTTAAGGGTGGTACAGTGGTAGCTTTCACTAGTTCTTATATATGCCAATATCTACTTTGTCTTTGACTCTATCGCTATTACCATTACTGATTTCTTCACTACTGCCAGTGGTAGGATAGTTATTGCTATTAATTGGTTTTTATGGTATGCCAATGTCTAGTTTGTCTCTGTATTATCAACAAGACTGTGGTTCATTTTCTCCACTTCTGTGTGGTGCTGAGGATGAAGCCCCCTGAAAAAAGTTGGATATTAAGAGGCCCTCAAATATAACACTGAGTAGGTTGAAGAGGGACACAAACATCAATACATAAACACAAGAACACAACACAGAGTAACAGATTTTTAACTAAAGATACCTCCACAGTAGTGACAGTGTTTCTACCCTAACTGATCTTCAATCTGCACCACAGAAATGACAAATATGAAAAAGTAAGGCAACAGATATATCCTAAAACCCTTAACTTCCCCAATGGAAACTGAAATGCAGGAAGCTGCAAAGAACTTGAAAATGTTTGTTGAGCTCAAAGAAGAAACACATAACCAAATTCAAAAGACATTTAGTGAGCGTAAAGATTTTATTAATCATGTAGAGGATTTTATAAGTAAAATGTGCAACTAGCTTGCGGAAACAATAAACTAACCCAGTTAAACAAGACAATATAAGATATGAACAAACAGTTTGGTAAAGAATTAGAAATTATGAAAAGAAAGAGAGCAGAAATACAACATAGGAAAAATTCTATAGAAAGCATGGGTGGCAGATGTGACAATACAATGACAGTTTCAGAAACTTAGGACAAGGTGGATGCAGCGGATCATAAAAATGATATGCTAAAAACTACAAGAGAACAAGCAGGATCCAATTGCTGCTAGATGACTAAAAACTAAAAACATAAGAATTACAGGAATAATGAAAAAATCAGATGATGACTCAAAAAGGAATAAAAAATGTATTCACTGAAATCAGAGCAGAAAACTTCCCAAATCTAGGGAAAGAATTCATCAATATCCAAGTATAAGGGGGATATAGAACCCCAGAGAGCTACAACCAGAATATAATATCTTTAAGATGCATCATAATAAAAATTTCAGAAATTCAACAAAATGACAAAAAACTAAAAGCTGTTGGAGAAAAAGAGCAAATAACCTATCATTTCTATCAGAATAACTAGATTTCTCAGCACAAATCTGAAAGCCGTAAGAACTTGGGGAGAAGTTTCTCAAGCCCTAAAACAAAAGAGTTGTCAATCCAGACTTTTATATCCTGAGAAACTAGCCTTCAAAAATCAACAGAGAGGTAAAGACTTTCAAGGATAAAGACAACCTAAGTACACGATCATTAATTCAGCATTGCAGAAAATACTTAAGGGAATCCTAGATAGACACAGGCCAAAAGCACCCGAGAGTCCAAAAGAAATGACATATCTAAGTGAGACAGTAGTAAAACTAAAGGAAAAAAAATAATCAGCACTAAAAAAATAATGCAATGACACGATTCAATAAACACCTTACAACAGTAACTCTTCATGTCAATGATCCAAAGCACCAAGTGTCAGTATATCCAACTGCATGAAGGCGTAACTCCTGGACTTAAAAGGACAGGCAGAAACCAATACATTCATAGAAGGGGACTTCAGCCCTTCACTCTCACAATCAGAGTAGGAAATGTTTTTTCTTTTTTGCGGTACTGGAGATTGAACACAGGACCTTGCACTTGCAAGGCAGGCGCGGTGCCACTGAGCTAAATCCATGGCCCCTCACTCTCACAATCAGACAGGTTAACCAGACAAAAATATCAACAAAGAAATCTTAGAGTTATACCACACCAGTGACAAACGGACTTAATGGGTATCTAAAGAATGTTTCATCCAACAATAATAGAACACATATTTTTCTCAACAGCACACAGAACTTTTTCAAAACAGACCACATAGAATGCTTAAATACAAAAGAATACCCTGTGTACCACTGGATCACAGCAAAATGAAACTAGAAATGAACAGCAAAAGAGATCACAGAAACTACACACACACATGGAGATTAAATGTTATTGAACAATCAATGGATCACAGAAATAATCAGGGAAGAAATGAAAAATTCCTAGAATCAAATGACAATGAAAGCACAACACACCAAAACCTATAGGACACAATGAAAGCTGTTCTAAGAGGGAAAGCTATAGTTGTAAATGCAAACATAAAAGAACAGAGCAATCCCAATAAATAACAAAGTGATGCATCTCAAGGTCCTAGAGGAAAAAGAATGAAACTGAGACTAAGAAAAATTAGAAAGGATCAATGAATCCAAGAGTTGATTCTCTGAAGGATGGGAAGGGCATCTGGGGATGGGGAGACAGGAGGGAGGGGAAGGAAAGTAGAAAAAGACTCAAGGTGGAACATATATATATATATATAAATTCCCACATGACAAATGTGTTTTATTGCATACTGCAAAAGTACAAAAATAAGAAAAAAAGAATGGGCTGGGGATGTGGCTCAGTGATAGGGCATGGGTTCAGGACAGTGCGCACGTGTGTGTGTGTGTGTGTGTGTGTGGTGTGTGTGTGTGTGTCCCGAAGAAGGGAGGGAGAAATTGATTTTAAGTGGGGACAAAGAGATCTGCCCACTGATATGAAGAGGCAGACTAGCATACTATAATAGAGCCACATGCTAGTATCTGAGCGACCAGTAGGAACAGACAACTACCAAAAAATGGGGCCCTAAGCCCTACAATTACAAGGAATGAATTCTAACAACCCAAATAAGCTTGAAAGAGGACTCCTCCAAATGAAAGTGAAAAAAAAAAGAAAATGCAGCTAGCCAACATACGTACTTCAGTATTGCTGAATCCTGAGCAGAAAATCCAATCATATTCTCCCTAGACTTCTGATCTACTACAGGAAAA